CTGAAGGAGAAGCAGCAGCACATCGAGCAGCTGCTGGCCGAGCGGGACCTGGAGCGGGCCGAGGTGGCCAAGGCTACCAGCCACATCTGCGAGGTGGAGAAGGAGATCGCCCTACTCAAGGCACAGCACGAGCAGGTGGGCGCCAAGCCACCGGGCCCCCAGGGCCACCAGGACCCCTCCTGCCAGTCCCCAGTGCCACTCACGCAGAGAAATTCCCAGCGTGCACCAGTAGCGCGCTCGCCCCACTTTCCAGATCTGCAGCCGCCCAGTAGCCTCCCTGGGCCCTTCTGGGAACCCGGCCACGGAGCCACCTCCGCCGTCCGTCCTGCAGGAGTGCGAGCTTTTCTAGGTCACGAAAAATCCTTCACTAAGATAGTGGCTGTGTGGCCATCATTATGACCTGTGTCCTTGTGATGTGGCCGTCCCCTGCTGTCATTTACACTTTCTAGTCTTTTCTCTTCTACATAATACCATCGGGACATCTTGGGGACACAGCCGTCTGCGTGTCATGCTCTTGAGCACATCTGGGGTTGGGTTTCGGGGCAGGGCCCTTGCCCCCGAAGTGGGAGGAACTGGGCCGTGGTCTTGGGCCAGCCTCATGCGGCTGGCAGTCCTCTGGGTGGGGCCTCCTCTGCCATTCCTGCTGGGTCTCTGAGCCTCAGCCTGCCCAGCTGCGCCTGCATGGGGAGCAGAGGCTGCGAGGCATCCAGGCCTGCCCCTCTCCCTCCTTGGCCCTGCCTCTGCCCCTGCTGGACCCCACACCCGCCCCGGGAGACTGGCCCTGACCCTGCCGTGGCCCTTGCTTGGGCCAGTATGTTGCAGAGGCAGAAGAGAAGCTGCAGCGGGCACGGCTGCTGGTGGAGAGCGTGCGGAAGGAGAAGGTGGACCTGTCCAACCAGCTGGAGGAGGAGCGGAGGTATGCGCTGCCCGGCCACCCCACTGGGCCAGAAGGTCGGGAGGAGCATGGGCTCCAGGGTCCAGGCCCCAGCTCTAGTCCTGCTCTGCCGCCCTAGCAGTGTCACCTGGACTAGAGCCCAATCCCTGGGCCTTGGTCACCTACCTGTTGAGTGGGGACACAGGGTGACGGGAGCAGAGCTCCTGCAGAGGCCCGGCACAGATGGACGCTGTGTCTGCAGCTGTAGACCACACGTTCCCACCGGCCAGCGTCTCATCACAGGAGACCAGCCTGGCCCTCCTGGGAGCCGAGACTGGGGTCAGGGCCCCGCATTGCTGCCACTGAACCCCTGGGCCAGGTCCCCTGCACAGAGCTTCCAGCTCCTATCCTGGGGCTTGGTCCTCACTTCACATGCCAGGAAGCTGAGGCCCAGAGACAGCAGCAAAAGGACACTGGGACGCCTTGCGCGGTGCTAGCCAAGCACCGTCCCCTCATAGGATGAGCCTGGGGGCTGCCATATCACAGGCAGAAAGCAGACCCGGTGCGCACCTAGGGGGTGCTGCTGTTTCCTGCCCCGCCACAGGGGCCGTGGGGGCATCCTGTCTCTTTCTGAGGCAGCTACAGGGATGGGGCACATGTCCCCTCCTCCCAGGAAAGCTCCTGGCCAGGGGGTGACGGTACCAACAAGCCCTGCAAAGTCAGATGTTTACGCCTCCCACCAGCCCAGCCCGAGGAGGGAGGCGGAGTGATGTGGGCAGGTTTGCCTGGTCCCAGAGCCTCTCCCCCTCCCACTCTCCAGCCCCCCACAGTGCCCCCGGCCCAAGCCCCCACTTGCATCTGTGTTTGGGGCTTTCAGCCAGGGCCTGGGCTCCGCAGGCTGCTGTTTCTATCTGCTGAGATGGTCATCAGAGGCCATGGTCATCGAAGCCCACACATCTGGCTCCCATGACAATGGTCCTGAAGCTGATCATTGAAAGCAGTTCTGTAAGGCATTGCAGAAATTGTGTCCAATAGGGGCCAGCATTGACCTGTGCTTGCTGGGCGACCTTGGGCAGGCAACTTGCCCTCTCTGACCCTCTCTTCTTCCTCCCAGCTCACAGATTGGTCCACTTGGCAGCATCTGCTCCCTGCGGAGCCCTCACTAACATGGTGGTGACTCCATTACTAGTCCACCATCCTCTGTCCCCCCAGCCGCCCCAGGAGAAAGGAAGGTCCTGCTCAGAGTGCAGGGTGGACTGGGAGAACTGGAGGCCTCCAGAGAGCTCTGCTCCTGGGGACGGTCCCTCCACATGGTCTGGGCTCAGATTCAGCTACAGGCAGCCTCACCTTTCTCGACGCCATTGACCTAATGCAGCCCTCCTCCAGGCCAGGCGGTCAGTCCCCTCTCTCCCCCCTGCAGGAAGGTGGAGGACCTACAGTTCCGGGTGGAGGAGGAGTCCATCACCAAGGGAGACTTGGAGGTAAGGCTAGGGCCCTCCCTGAGCTGACCCAGCATCCCGCCGGGGGGGGGCTTGCTGGCTTGCGCTGGCAGCACTGTGGGCCTCCTTGGGAGGAGGCTAGGAGGTCGCAACGGGAACAGGGAGGAGGGGTCACACCTGGAAGAGCGGGGAGAGGCCGCCAGGAGACATCTGTGTAGAGCAGAGGTGGGAATGGCTCTGTCAGACCCCACAGGAGCCTGTGTTGGTGGCTGGGGTGGGGGTCAGGATGACCAGGGCAGTGAGGACACCACCTGGGCCTGAGAATGAAGTAGTGGACTTCCCATCCCTTCCCATTGGGCAGTAGCCCCAGAGTTGTCCCTTGGGCTGTCGGTTCACCTGGGACTCCAGGTGCCGACTGGCTGGAAGCTCGTGGGGTCACCGAAGGCGTAGAGAACTGAGGCTCAGAAAGGCAGAGTGACGCTAAGAGTTGAGCCAGCAAGACTCGGCCCCATTCCTCACTGTCCTGGGCGCTGGGCCTCCAGCTGTCACCCTCACCCCTGGCTCTAGGCACCCTTCCCTCTGCAGTCACACCCACCGTCAGGTCCAGGGGGGGCTACTCAGGTCAGTTGGCCAACGGACATGGCTCTGGAGCCTTCCCAGTTCACCCAGAGACCACAGGGCTCCTGAGGCCGCAGTTGAAGGGGCTGGAGCACCTTCTGCCTCCTGGGATGTGACAAGGGACAGAGCTCCCAGAGCTGGCAGATGGAATGGGGACAGCGAGGTCACTCCCTTCCCCTCTCTGGTTCTGGCTGTTCCCTCTCCTGGGCCTGTTTCCTGCTCTGTAAAAGAAGGAGGCCGAGTCCCTCAGGGTCCCTGAGTCCCTGAGCCTGTGTCCTGGAGGCAGGCCGGGCCATCCCTGGCAGGCCTGGGACCCCAGAAGCTGCCTTCCCCCACGTGATGGTGCCGTCCAGGGGCTACACTCTGGGAACCCTAGCAGACTGCTTCAGCAGTGAGCTTCGAGCTCAAATCAGAAATCATAGTTTCTGACCTGGAGAGCCACGCGAAGACCCCTGACTTCCAGTTCCCCACCAGCAAAACTGCACTGGGCATCCTGTCCCCGGGCCATCCCGGCTGGGCAATGGGAGGGGGACGTGCACCCTGCGTAGAGTCTCTGTCAGTGGCCTCTGTCAGTAGGTCTGCATGGCTTGAGGTGGCATCAGGCCGTTTTGACGCCTGTGTCCCTCAGAGCCAAACATTTAGCCAGTTTTTCTCATGGGCAGCTGTCCTCCTCCAGGGGCTGGGTTGTGGGGAAGCAGCTGGGGTCACTAGAACAGAGCTCCCGTGCCCCAGCCAGTGTCAGTCCCCAGGGATATGGGGAATCCACGCCCTGCAAGGACAGGCGGGGCAGAGACCTGGAGCAGATCTGCTAGGAGCCGAGCCCCCCAGCAGAGCCTCCCTCTTCTGAGTCGGGCCTGTCTGCCTTCCTGGCTCACTGTCACCCCTCCACCCACCTGCTCCAGCCTGCGGGTGCCACCCATCACCCCCCAGTTACCCTCACAGGAGAATCTGATTGGCCCCAGGCCAGCCAGTGGGCGGGTGGGCTTTGATCAGGGGCCCACCCCAGATGCAGTGTGGCCTGGCCGGGAGAGGCCGGGCGGGTGCAGGACAGACAGTGATGGCCAGTTCCTGGGGAAGGACTGTTGCATCCCATGGTGACGAGAGAGTTGCCCCTGAGAGCGGTTCCCCTTCTGTCCCCTCCCCCAGTGACAGCTCATGTCCCCATTCCCACTTCCTGGCCTTCTTGCTGGCCTTCCACCCTCTGACCTCCGAGTTCAGACTTGGGCCTTTGGCCTCTGGTCCAGGCGGGGCCTCAGCGTCCCTGTGGGGCCCTCCGGGCATGCCCTCGTGACATTGCCACCAGGATTCCCTGGGCTGCAAATCTCTCTAGCCAAGCGACTGAAAGCGGCACCCACTCGAGCCTCCCAGTTCTGGAAGCCAGAAGCCTAACCTGGCGGTGCTGGGCGCGGCTGGTCCCCTGCGGAAGGAGGCTGCAAAAGGCCTGGGCGTACCCTCCTGGCGTCTGCCAGCTGCCCGCGCCTGGCCAGCCCTTGCCCGTCCTGCTGGCAGCTCTCCCATGACTGACGCGTGGCCTTCCTCCAGGACACCAGTCATGGGGTTGGGGATCGGGGTCCACCCCAGTCCAGTCTGATCTCAGTCATGACAAGAACGGAGACCCTGCTCCAAACAAGGCCCCGTCTGAGATTCTGGGCAGGGGGACCTATACCCACAGGCTCTGGCGTCCTGTCCCTGCCTTGCCTGAGCACCCCCCAGCCGTTCCCATCTTCTCGCCCCCTCATTGCTCCAAAACAAGTGCCTTGACCTTGGTGCCCAGGTCACCTCTGTCCCCACAGCTGTCCCCCTGGGAGACAGCACCAGCCCACACCCACCCCGGTCCTTACCCTTGCTCCCCCACACGAAGCCACCATAGCCTTTTTAAAAATATCTTGTAAAATTTTTAATAGTGGAAAATTTTAAAATTCTCAGCAGCAGAGAGGACAATGTCACGAGCTCCCAGGTCCCATCACCGGCTCCTCCAGGTGCCAACTCGTGGCTGATCCTGCTTCAGCCCCCACCCCACCTCATCACATCCCACTCACCCTATGACCAAAGCTTCCCTGTGGCCCCCAGGTCCTGCCCCTTCCCTGCTCACACCTGCAGGTAACACCAGGCTCTGGAGTGGCTGGGAGAAGACCCTCAGACGCAGCCCCTCCTGGTCTCAGGCCTGGTGGCTCCTGTGTGCCCTAACGTTCCTCTGCCTGTGCTGGGTCCTCTGAAGCCCCTGACCTGCACTCTGCCTTAAGTAGACTCCTCTCCCAGGCCCACCCCAGGTTCCCTCTGCCCACTGCCCAGGTCTCTCCCAAAATGACCTTCTCTCTGCATTTATCACTGGCATCCTTCCCCAGGATCTCTGCCCCTCGAGGGTGGCACCTTGTCCAGCTTGTTCACCTCTGTGTCTCTGAGGCCAGGACGTGGTGAGGAGCACATTTGTCCTCGGGTGGGCTTCCTGGGTCACAAGCTGAGAACAAGTTTGGGGTCCATGCCTTTCTCTGGATGTCACAGCTTTAGGCCTGACAGCACTGGGGATCTCCTGTGAGTCACCCCGGCTGTGGTGCCCTCTGGTAGCCCCTGGTGCTTCTGAGTGGTCTATCATTCACAGGAGACCAAGGGAAGCCCTGGGCCTCTGTCCTTCAGGGGCCCTTCCCAGCTCACTCATGAAGCAAACCCTGGACTACCAGAGAGCTGTCCCCAGGTGGTGGGGTGGACGCCGCTCAAGGGAACAAGGAAGGGCTGTTGGCAGAGCTCTGCCAGATCTTGAGCTGGGGCAGGGCAGCAAGCAGCCTGCCCTTCCCCCTGTAGGAGCCCCTGGCTGCTGTGCACGGGTGCAGGAGCTGAGGACTCCAGTGAGCGCCTGCGCTGGTCAGAGTTTCACTGCTGACTGACCAGCGCCAATAGAGAGGAGAAAGGTTTATTTGGGGGCTCATGATTTTTGAGGACCCAGCCCACAGACAGTCGGCTCCATTCCTGGGGCTCAGGGTGAGGCAGGATGTCTTGGCAGAGGGTGTGGGGAGCAAAGCAGCTCACGTGGTGACCAGGAAGCAGAGAGACAAAATAACTACCCCAAAGGCTCGTCCCTAGTGCCCACCTCCCCTGGCCACACCCCGCCGGCCTCCAGGTACCCCCCAGCTACTCCCCATCCGGGGACTAATTCAGAGCCAGTCACTTCACCTCCAAACCTTGTCTTGTCCCACACGTGAGCTTCAGGGGGACACCACACATCTAAACCGTTGCAGTGCCCGCTTAGGGATATGGTGATCTTAGCTCTGGACCCCACCTTGCTGAAGCTGCTGGTGCCTGCGAGCCCTGGCCCTCCCTGGAGCAGCCCCTCCCCTCCCAAACTGACACCGGTTCAGCTGGATGGGGCTCTTGTTATTCCTTGAGGGAAATTCAGAAAACAAGATAATGAGCCAGGGGGTCTGAGCATCTCCATCGCTGTTTATGTGTTGCAAGGGACGTGTAGTCACCCCTCGGTGTCCAGGGAGTGGCTGGCTCCAGGACCCCAGAAACACTAAGAGTGTCAGATGTTCAGCCCTTGTGCGAATGGCGCAGTATTTCCATAGACCCTGCATCCCCTGCCAGGTCCTTGCAGTCACCTCTAGGTAACCATCAGGGGCACTCAGATGCTGGGTAAACAGTTGTCTTCCTGGGGAATGATGACACGGAACAAAGTCTGGTTAGGCTCAGTACAGACTGAGGGTGTTTTGTTTTGGGTACCAGGCAGTGGAGCCAGGGCCCCTGGCCACGAGCCATGTCCCTAGCCTTTTGTGGGTTTTATTTTTTGAGACAGGGTCTTGCTAAGTTTTGAGGCTGACCTTGAATTTGCAACCCTCTCGCCTCAGCCTCCCAAGTGCTGGGATTACAGGTATGTGCGCCACCGTGCCCAGCCCGGGTTCAGTTTTTAAGAAATATTCTCACCAGGCTGGTGGAGTGTGCTTGTGATCCCAGCAGCTCAGGAGGATCACAAGTTTGAGGTCAGGCTCACAACTTAGCAAGGCCCTTTCTCAAAACAAAAATATATCTTTAAAAAAGGGGATGCAGCTTAGTGGTGAGGCACCCTTAGATTCCCCAGGACCAAAAAAAAGGGGAAGGAAATTATTTCCAACTAGGGGCTAGTGGGGTCTGTGGACGCTGCCCCACCAGCATGGAGGGCTGTTTCTGGGCGGAGGGTCTCCACACCTTCAGCGGAGGACCAGCCTCAGCTGTTGGCGCATGCGTGCTGTTTCGTGGAGGCGCCTGCGACTTGGCGCTACTTTTGTCTCCTGGAAGATGAGCCTGGTTTTCAAACTGGTTCCCCAGGGTACCCAGGGCGAGAGCCCTCCACTCCCTGTCTCCCCACCAGGGTCCGCCACGGGCAATCAAATGCCATCGTGGCGCCTTGAGAATGCCAGGCTTTGTTAGGGGATAAAGCGGGTGTTGTGTAGTGGGGACAGAAGTGCTCTTGTGCTTCCTGGAGACCAGGCGTCCTCCATGCCCCCGCCCGGGGGGTGGGGCGGGCAGCGACCAGGCAGGCAGTGGGAGGCACGGCCTAGCGCCACCCAGAGCTCAGGCTGGAGAACCAGGGTGGCGCACCAGAGTTTATTTTTGCAATCTGCCCAATCCTCTGCTCTCTGTCAGCACCGGCCTGGGGACCTGTCATTCCTGGGACCACATATTTCCTCCTCCTCCTAAAGGCCTCCTGTGTGCCCAACCCTGTTCCCAAAATGAGTCCCAGCCCACAGGCTCCCTGAGGGGAAGCAGGGAGAGGAGGGAGAGCAGACATTGGAGTCCTGAAAATCCCAGGGCGGCCACAGGGGTGACAGGCAGGAGGATCCAAAGTTCGAGGCCAGCCTCAGCAATTTAGGAAGGCCCTTAGCAATTTAGGGAGAGGCTGTCTCTAAAATATAAAAAGGGCAGGGGCCGTGGCTCAGTGGTTAAGCACCTCTGGGTTCAATCAAGGGTAACTCCCACCCAAAAACCACCCAGCCAGGCCCCTTGCTGGGGGGGCTCCCACCCCACTCTGCAGGCCTCTATCCCTGAGCAATTCTGGCTCCTCGACCTGCTCTGTCTTGTTCGCGGAAGATGACGCCTCCTCTCTCTCTCTCTCCCCCTCTCTCTCTCCCCGGCTTCCTCTTCCCCGCCCCCCGCGCCCGCCTCCCCCGTCCCTGGGTGGAGCAGACCCAGACGCAGCTGGAGCACGCGCGCATTGGGGAGCTGGAGCAGAGCCTGCTACTGGAGAAGGCGCAGGCAGAGCGGCTGCTCCGAGAGTTAGCGGACAACCGGGTAACGCCGCCGCCGCCACCGCTCGCCCGCCAGCCCCGCCTGGAGGCCCCTGGCTTCTCTGTTGTGCCCCTTGCTGTCCTTGCTGCTGTCCCACTGCCTTCTCCTTTGGGCTCCCTTTTTCCGAGGGAAGGAGGATTTAGAAGTGTGCTCAGGCTCCATGGCCACATCTGCTCACTGGAGGGGACATCTGGCTCAGGACCCAGGCCACTGGGATGGCCCTATGAGCCACCCTGTGCCTCGCCCGGGGCATGGGCACGTTGGAAGATGGGCCTCCTGGATGTGGTCAGGCCCGGCAGCCGCAGGCCCAGGTGTTGCTAGCCTTGGTGGCAGGAAAGCCTGGCCCGACAGAGCTGGGCTAAGAAGTGACAGGGCGTTGGGGAAGTGGGTCCCTAGGGGGGGCAACAGGAAGCCCCAGGAAAGTGCCACTGGAAGGCGAGTTCCCCTGAATCACTAGGGCATGCACGGTTCCATGTTACACTCCAGGCCTGGCTGGCCCATGCATGGCCACTGTGCATACACTGAGGCCAGCACCCTTTTCGGGCCGACCCAGCCGACAGCGGTGACAGGAAGACACCTTCTGCACATCATGAGGGTTGGTACAGCACAGCCCTGGATGGGTGCTCGTGTGTGATGTTGGAGAGTCCCAGGCATCCGGTGGCACTCGATGGCCGTGGCCCTGTGGCCACGTGTGCTCATTCGTATGCAAGGAGGCTGTGTGCAGAAACCCACCTGCAATGGTGGGCAGGTTGGAGCCTCCACTGGAGGCACCTGATCTTGTCATCAGCTAACACAATGAAAATAGGTTTATTGAGCCAAAAGACCTTTACGAACAAAAGCTTTGAAGTTTGTAAAAGATTTGAATCTTTAAAATAGGTTGTATGATAGTGCACAGCTGATAGCCCAGCCATTCCTGAGTGGCTGAGGCAGAAGGATTACAAATTGGAGGCCAGCCTCTGCAACTTAGTAAGGCCCTGTCTAAAAGAATAAAGAGGCTGTGATATAGCTCAGTGGTAGAACTCCCCTGTGCAATCCCCAGCCCCCCAGATCTGAGGCAACCAGGTAGGGTTTTGGAAGGTGGAGCCCTGATGGGTCTGGAATCCTCAGTTCTGTTTTGCTGAAGATTTGAAAGTCAGCTGCCCTTGACCACTATTCAGCCAGGCCCTCTGTGAGTTGGCCCATTCTGGCCTAGGCCCATCTCTCTCCGGTGAGATAATGCAAAACCACTCTGGTCTCTGCCCTTTAAAAATAACATTAGTAACCTGTGCAGTGTTGCACGCCTGTAATCTTGGCGACTCAGGAGGCTGAGGCAGGAGGATCACAAGTTCCAGGCCAGCTTCAGCAACTTGGGGACACCCTGTCTCAAAATTTAGGGAAAAAAAAAAGGACTAGGGATGTGACTCAGTGGAAAAGTACCCCGGGTTCAGTCTACAGTCCCACCAAAAAATTTAAAAGTGGTGACCTTAGATCAACAAAGCTGTCACCTTAAAGAAGTGGTTCCTCTTACCCACCAGTTTGTCCCAAGCCGGTTGGGCATCAGGGGCACCCCCATCATGCGGCTGACCTCATGGTTGGGGTACAGCCAGGACCAGGTGGGAGTGGGCCGCTTCCCTTCTCCTGCTGTCCCAGCCCTCTGACCCATCTCCCTCTCTCCCGGTAGCTGACCACGGTGGCCGAGAAGTCTCGGGTGCTGCAGCTGGAGGAGGAGCTGACCCTCCGATGCGGCGAGATCCAGGAGCTCCAGCAGTGCCTCCTGCACTCGGGGCCCCCACCCCCTGACCACCCCGAGGCGGCCGAGACTCTGCGCCTGCGGGAGCGGCTGCTGTCGGCCAGCAAGGAGCGCCAGCGGGAGAGTGGCCTGCTGCGCGACAAGTACGAGAAGGCCCTGAAGGCCTATCAGGCCGAGGTGGAGAAGCTCCGAGCTGCCAACGAACGGTACGCACAGGAGGTGGCCGACCTCAAGGACAAGGTCCAGCAGGCCACCAGCGAAAACATGGGACTCATGGACAACTGGAAATCCAAGCTGGACTCGCTGGCCTCCGACCACCAGAAGTCCCTGGAGGACCTCAAGGCCACGCTCAACTCGGGCCCCGGGGCGCAGCAGAAGGAGCTCGGGGAGCTGAAGGCGGTGATGGAGGGGATCAAGATGGAGCACCAGCTGGAGCTGGGCAACCTGAGGGCCAAGCACGACCTGGAGACGGCCGTGCATGTGAAGGAGAAGGAGGGCCTGCGCCAGCGGCTGCAGGAGGCCCAGGAGGAGCTGGCTGGGCTGCAGCAGCACTGGCGGGCACAGCTAGAGGCACAGGCCGGCCAGCACCGGCTGGAGCTGCAGGAGGCACAGGACCAGTGCCGCGATGCCCAGCTGCGCGTCCAGGAGCTGGAGAGGCTGGATGCCGAGTACCGAGGGCAGGCTCAGGCCATCGAGTTCCTCAAGGAGCAGATCTCCCTGGCTGAGAAGAAGATGCTGGACCACGAGCTGCTGCAGCGGGCAGAGGCGCAGAGCAAGCAGGAGGCCGAGCGGCTGCGGGAGAAGCTGCTGGTGGCTGAGAACCGGCTGCAGGCCATGGAGTCCCTGTGCGCGGCCCAGCACACCCACGTAGGCACGGCTGGGCCTGGGCGGGTCCATAGACAGCACGCTCCTACCCGGGCGCGTGCCCGAGGGGATCGCGGGCACCTGGCTCAGAGGAGGGGACGGTGGGATGCCAGTGGCCAGGCTGAGCCCACGGGACCCCCTCAGAGCAGGCTGGAGAGAAGCTTGGGGGCCACTGGCTCCTCTGGCTTCTCCTCGAGGTGCCCCTCCGCCCACAGCACAGCGCCCAGGGCAGGTGCACCCACCAGGGACCTCCAGCCCAGCAAGCACCCACAGAGTGCAGGAGGTTACCCTGAAGAGGCTCAGCCACAGTGACCAGCCACTGTTCCAGTGCAGGGGCCCTGAGGTGGGGTCTGAGGCTGGAGAGTGGTGGCCTTGGGCCATTGCACCAATATTCAATTTTAGAAATCCCCTAAATGTCTGGCCCTTCCCCTGCCACATTACCTAGGGACCATGGGGGACTCTGTCCACCCCAGCAGGACTGCAAGAGCCTCTGAGTGGCTCTGGGCACATCCGTGCTGGGCCCTGCATTATCCCATTTCACCCTAACTCCCCAGAGGTCAGCATTGCTCCCATCACGGTGAGCAGTGGCTCGAGAGCGAGTCCCTTCCCAGGTGCCCTGCCTGGCCGTGGTGGAGATGCCAGACCCCGTGGGCAGTAGAGCTGACGGGGGTGCCGGCTCCCCGTCCCCAGGGGAGCTTGAGCTTTCTGAGAATTGAGCATTTGGGATCAGTTTTCTGCAGCCCGAGTGCGGATTCCTTCTCCTGTCAGAGGAGACCTTCCTGCTGGTGCCTTGCCGTCCCCTGCAGGGCCTCCCTGCCCCTTTCTCCCAGGAGGGACCATTTCGAGCAGTTGCTCTCGCAGGACCCTGGGGGGAAGAGGAGGCAGCAGCTCTGGTTAGCTGATGGGTGCATGGGCCAGATGGGCCACTTGGGGCAGGTGGACAGAGCCCGCGACCCCCGACCTGGATCCCCTTGCAGGGAGGTTTGGGCTGCTGTGGTCCCTCAGAGCTGGAGGACAGAGGCTGAGGATGCCCTTCCTCTTGCCCCAAATCCCTCAGTCACAGTGGCTCCTAGCTGCAGAGAGGGTGGCAGCCTCAGGACAGATCCTCCCATGTGCAGCGGGCCTCCATCTGGACGCTGTGTGCCCCAAGATTCAGAAGTTTAGGTCTTAGCCGGGCATGGTGGTGCACATCTGTGATCCCAGCAGCCCTGAAGGCTGAGGCCGGGGGATCTCGAGTTCAAAGCCAGCCTCAGCAATTTATAAGCAACTCAGTGAGACCCTGTCTCTAAATAAAATATAAAACAGTGCTAGGGATGTGGCTCAGGGGTTAAGTTCCCCTGGGTTCAATCCCCAGTACCAAAAACAAAAGAATTTTAGGTCCAGAGACAACTGTTTGTATTTTTTGTTTTTTTGTTTTTTTTTCTTTTTGGTCTCATTGTAAATGTGGACAGGAATTTTTTTAAAAAATTATCCTTTTAGTGTGTGCCTCATCTTGACTGAAATGTTTATGCATTAAATTCAAGGGAGCTGGCCGGGCTCCGTGATACACACCTGTAATTCAGTGGCTCAAGGAAGCTGAGACAGGAGAATTGTGAGTTCAAAGTCAGCCTCAGCAAAAGGGAGACGCTCCGCAACTCAGTGAGACCCTGTCTCTAAAATAAAAATACAAAATAGGGCTGGGGATGTGGCTCAGTGGTTGAGGGCCCCTGAGTTCAATCCCCAGTACTCAAAACAAACAAAGATCAAGGGGTCTTAGTCAATCACAACTCATGGAGACTAGAATGGGGCTTAGGATGTATGAAGAGAAGAATGAGAGGCAGGGTGAGGGAGGGGACTGCCTGCCCCGCCCTGTGATAACTCATCTGCAGCCTTAGACTCTGGCCTTCTGGCCTAGGACATCCAGTGGGAGCAGGTGACGGGCAGCCTGTGGGTGTCTTCTGACCTTTGGCTGTATTTGTCAAGTTGATGTTTTTTTTTTCTTTAATCAATTTTTTCTTCTTTGGCTTCTGAGTTTATTATTAAACAGAAGCGTTAGAGAGGACGGAATGGACGGGCACTGTCACCCCTCCAAGAGCTGGCCCCGAGCATGTGGCACATGGTGCCCAGGGCTCTCAGAGCTTGTTTTATGGGTGGGAGACCCAGCCCAGCCACACTGACTCTGGCAGAGGTGCTGGCAGCAGGTGCCCAGGACAGATCTCTAGGTATCCCAGGGAGAAAGACATCTGTCCAATGTAGATGTTCCCAACAGAGGACAGGGTCCTCAGTGTTCCCACAGAGGCGTCTCTAGGAAGGTGGGACCCAGGAGTCTGCTGCCCGGGCCCTGCTCAGGCGCTCGTCCCTCCCTTGGGCCGCCTGTCGAGGGGCGAGGCCTGCAGACATCCAGCGGCTAAGGTGGTGGCCAGGGCGCCCCTTACAGGCCTCTCCTTTCAGATGATCGAGTCCAGTGACCTTTCAGAGGAGAAAATCCGGATGAAGGAGACCGTGGAGGGTGAGTGCCGGCTGGGCCGGTGGGACCGGGCCTCTCAGCTCTGCTCGCCTTTATTTTGCCCAGCGATTGTGGAATCAGGGAGAGTCACACTATTTCCGAGCACCGACCTGGTGGCTTCCAAGCTGGCCAGTGTGGCATCCTCATGACCGTTGACCGGCCACTGTTTTGGGTTTCCTGAGGAGAGTCCAGTTGCCCAGGACCACAGTGTGGGACCCTCTTCCTCGGGGTGGGCTTCTTAGGGAAAGGGCCACTCTCAGGGAGGATTTGGACCCTTGCTTTTGGATCGCCATGGGAGGACTGCCCACTGGCCCACACCGTTGGCCCTGGAGCTTTGATGGCGTCTTGTCTCTCCCTAGGCCTACAGGACAAGCTGAACAAGAGGGACAAAGAAGTGGCAGCCTTGACATCCCAGACCGAGATGCTCAGGGCCCAAGTAAGTGGTAAGTCTCCCCCCCACAGGGCAGATGTGGGTCTCCCTGGGGCTGTGCGGGCCGCAGGCTCTGGAGCATGCAGTGGGTGGTGGCTGGCTGGTGTCCCCACACTCTGGGCTGAGAAGGTAGCAGTGGGGCCAATTCCCCCTCCCTGGACAGGCCCCTGGGCAACAGCAAGTAGGCAAGAAGTGGAATCCGGGACCCGCAGATGGCTTCTGTCCCCAGAGCCAGCCCTCTGTCCCGAGTCCTGCCCGAGTTCTCTCTCTCTGGTCTTGAGGCCTCGGGCTTCTCACAGTCACCTGGATTCAGTGTCACCCTCGCTAGAAATTTCAGTAGTCCCAGTTGGGGGAAAGGACGCAGGCTGTGGCCAAGAGCCAGGCGCACAGGGCACCTGGGGAGAGGCGGGGGTCTGGATGGGTGATTTGCGTGACAAGCTGGCCCTGCTTCTCGTCCACCAGAATGCCAGTGGTGGTGGTGGCCCTGAGACGGTGCCCCTCCTGGGAAATGGTTCCCACCCCCTCTTCTCTCCAGTCCCCGTCACGCTCACGTGGCCTAATGGGTCCCGGCAAAGGTCAGTGGACCTCAGACTCCTGTATGCCAGGGCCAAGGCAGCCTCTCCTTGTCCCAGCAGTGGCCATAACCACGTCCTCTTGGGAGGGTGGCCCACTGCCCCCGCCCCAGGCCCGGGCTGCTGTGCTTTGGGGTTCGGTCTGCTTGGTGTCGCTCCTCCTGGGCCCCTTGCCACCTGCTTCTCTAGGGCCACAGAGACCCCTGAGCTTTTGAATCTCCTTGGTGGAGCGTGTCCCTGGGAAGGCCAGCTCTGTGCCCAGCCGGGGCCCTGGGGGCGTTCCCAGGCCATCCCAACCCTCTGCCTCCTTTCCCTGCCGGCCGCCCCCAGCGCTGGAGAGCAAGTGTAAGTCGGGGGAGAAGAAGATGGATGCCATCCTGAAGGAGAAGCGGCGTCTGGAGGCCGAGCTGGAGGCCCTGTCCCGGAAGACCCACGACGCCTCGGGCCAGCTGGTCCTCATCAGCCAGGAGCTTCTGCGCAAGGAGCGGTGAGTCTGCCGCCTTCCTGCTGGTGACTGTCCTCTGGCCTGTCCCTCACTCCACCCTGCATTCACCAGTCTTCTCCAGAGGCAAGGAGGCTGGTCACCAGAGCTGCCGGCACCCATGAAGCCTCAGAACCCTTCTCAACGCAGATCTCCTCGCTTAGCTTTAGGAATGATGAGCTCCCCCACTTTTTGTTCTCAGGGACCTTTTTAAACTCTTAAAAATCACCAATTTGGCACCAGGCGTGTGGGGCACGCCTGTATTCCCAGCAGCTCGGGAAGCTGAGGCAGGAGGATCTCAAGTTCAAAGCCAGCCTCAGCAACTTAGCAAGACCTGGTCTCTAAATAAAATATAAAAAGGGCTGGAGATGTGGTTCAGCGCCCCTGGGTTGAATCCTCAGTATAAAAAAAAAAAATCAAGTTTCCCTCAAGAAGCTTTTTTTTTTTTTTAATATTTATTCTTAAGTTTTAGGTGGATACAACATCTTTATTTTACGTTTATGTGGTGCTGAGGATCAAACCCAGTACCTCGTGCATGCTAGGCGAGCACTCTACCACTGAGCCACAACCCCAGCCCCAAGAAGCTTTTGTTTATTTACCTATTTACTATACTAGAAATCAAAACTGAGAAATTTAATTTTTTTCTTTTCTTTTTTTTTTTTGTTTTGTTTGAACCAGGGATTAAACCAAGTGGCACTTAACCACTGAGCCATATCCCCAGCCCTTTTTAGTTCTTATTTTGAGGCAGGGTCTTGTTAAGTTGCTGAGGCTGGCCTTGAACTTGCAATCCTCCTACTTCAGCCTCCCTCCTGAGCCACTGGAATGTGCACCACCACGCAGGCTAATGATTATTATTATTATTATTATTATTATTGGTACCAGGGATTGAGCTCAGGGACACTCAACCATAGAACCACATCCCCAGCCCTATTTGTTATTCGATTTAGAGACAGGGTCTCACTGAGTTGCTTAACACCTCCCTTTTGCTGAGGCTGGCTTTGAACTCAGGATCCTCCTGCCTCAGCCTTCCAAGCCACTGGGGTTACAGGCATGTGCCACCTCTCAGGCTAAAGATATTTCTTAATCCATTGCATGATAAACCAATGGCATGTAATATGAAAATGCTTCTGGTAAAAAAATAAATAAATATTTCCAAAACACACACATACACACAAACACACAAACACAAAATGTTCACCGAGCAGGTTGGGGTCTTCTCATGATTTTGCAAGTGTCTTGGAGGAAGACAGCCAGAATCTGATATCTTCTACATTTGTTCTTTGCAGTTGGTCGTTTCTGCTGAAGTAGATTAATGAAAATCTGCCCTGACATATGTTTTTGGAGTATTTATAATATTTTTTCCAGACGATCACCAGCTTACCATGTAGCTCTGGGAAAACCCATGATATGCGCAGTGACAATGAAGATAGTTCTATTTTTATTATGAAAATAGTTTTGGCCTTGGAGATCCCCTTGGGGTTCCTCAGACTATACTTTGAGAATCGCTGGGCTTGATTATTTTTTAATGAATAAGTAGATTAGCACCTAAGAAACCAGAAGATGTCCTATAAAATCCGATTGCCCCAGATTCCCTTTGAAATTGGGAGGCCTGCGGACACTGGGCTGACAGCTCTGTTCCCACCCCACGGCCTTTGTTACTTTCACGGATGGGATTCTGCAGCTGTCAGCCTCTGCTTTCTCGGAGGAGCCACAAGCATCCTCTGTAGGATGCTGACTCCTCCCGCGGGGCTGCTGCGCGGACTAGCGGCGCCTGAGCACAGAAACGTATGGAGCGACAGCGCCCCCTGCAGGCGGAAGCCCTCTCGGGACCGCGGTGCGCTGCTCCCATCCCCTCTGTCTTCCTGGACATGTCAGGCCGGGTGCCCAGCCCTGGCACCTCTCCGAGGAGTCTTCCTGGACTGTCCTGGCCACAGGGAGGCTCCCTGCCCCTGAGTCCCATTAGAGCTCCCTGGAGTTTTTAACCCGTTGTATCATTGCTCCGTTGGGGGGTTTTGTTTGGGGGATGTTTTTATAATGCCAGGGATGGAGCCCAGGGACTCTCAAAAGCTGACCGGCCTCAGCTCTGTCAGGGTTAGGGTTTTCCTCCCTGGCCTCACCCCGCACTGAGTACAGCCTTCTGGAAAGCCTCCTTCCTTTGGGTCATTTCATGAAGGCCAGGCAGTCCCCCAGGCTCCAGTCAGACTCCAATGCTTTTCTGAAGCCCCTTTTTCTTTCGGTACCAGAGATTGAACCCAGGGGTGCTTAACCACGGAGCCACACCCCAGCCCTTTTAATTTTATTTTGAGGCAAGGTCTCACTGAGTTGCTCAGGGCCTCACTAGGTTGCTAGGCTGGCTTTGAACTTGCAATCCTCCTGCCTCAGCCTCCCGAGCTGCTCGAATCACAGCTGTGCGCCAGCCAAACCTTTCTCAATCACTAGAGGCCACAGAGGGCTCCTCCACACCCCTGTGGTGCCTCAGATGTGGCAGAGATCAGGCTGCTTTGGTCACTGTGATACACCATCCAGTGAGCAGCAGATTGGACTGGGAGAGTTTTTCCTTCCTCATATAACAAGTAATCTGGAGGAGGCTGTGACTGGCAATTGGTTTAGGAGCTCAAGATGTCAGTGCTGCCCACACTTGTAATCCAGCAACTCAGGAGATTGAGGCAGGAGGGTCTAAGTTTAAGGCCAGCTTCAGCAATTTAGGGAGACCCTGTCTCAAAAAAAAAAAAAGAAACTTAAGAAGGGGCTGAGGATGGCTGGGTATACAGTGGCACATGCTGAGACCGGAGAATCATGAGTTCAAAGCCAGCCTCAGCAATGATGAGGCAACTCAGTAAGACGCTGTCTCTAAATAAAATACAAAATAGGGCTGGGAGGATGTGGCTCTGTGGTTGAATGCCCCTGAGTTTAATCCCTGGCACCCAAAAGGCGGGGGGGCTGAGGATGCAGCTCAATGGTAGAGCACCCCTGGGTTCAGTCCCTCCCCAAAAAAGAACTCAGTGCCAACACATTTACAGTTCACTTCATCTACCTCTCATAGTGTAGTGTGGCAGCTGAAGCTCCAGCCATCACATTCAGAGGAAAGGAGGAGGGAAGGGAAAGGGGCAGTGCCTGCTGCTTCTGCTTTGTTCTTAACTACACATGGCTAACCAGTAATGGAGTTCCCCTCTCCCTGGTATATGCAGGCGAAGGAGCAGGCTCAGGAGAACATTGGCATCCTGACCTATGGCGGGCACTGCTCATCCATGGCTGCAAGGGAAAGGGCTGGGGAGTTGGCACTGCCTGTGGCAGGCATTGCTGATCCATCACTGCACTTGTCTGCAGAACCCCTGTGTGGCCTGGGAACCACCCCCCCCAAGTATGCCAAGCCCCTCCTGCTAGTTGACGAAGCGTTGACATGGAGTATTAAGCATATTTGACATCAGGCATTTAAAACACCTTGCCACCTGGGATATTCTCAGAAATGAATGTTTAACTTTCTAATTTTCTTTAACTTAAATATGTTCCCTTTCTCCCCCTCC